CTTTCAAGATTATCAACCAGGCATAGTTGCGCGTATATGTTAAGAGGGTAAACTGCTGGGACTGAAAAAAAAAAAAGAAGAAGATGGTAATAACTATTCAAGAATATGTTAATTTGGCTTACACTAAACGTAAATAACCCTACTCAATTTATTGTAGATATTTTTTGGAATTAGACCATGCAAACTAGAAAAAAATTTTCTTGGCGATGTGAATTAAAGGAGTGACCAAGTCCTTTGGGCATTACTTTGAGTTTTTGTTATTATATTGTTTAATGTTTAGCTGATAGTTTTCTGTTTCCTAGTCTTCAATTGTTGGTTATTATGCCTGATTTATTTCCTAGTCTTTAGCTTTGATTTTAACAAATTTTGAATGCTTGTATGGCTACATATAGCCATGTTGTGATGAATAAAAATACAAGTTGCATTATTTTTAATATTCCTCATTTGGAGAGAGTCCATTTAACAGAGAGATTCTGTGAAATTTTCCTCTGGTTGCCAACGTGAAGCTGGTCAGGAGATTGTTCCTTTCTTTAACTAATTTGCTGTTATCTTGTCATCATTTGGATAAAGGAATAGATTACTCGATCAAAATTACCTGCATTGCCAAACTTCTTCAAGGCTGATTTAAGGTAATTGAGGCAGCCAGGATTACGGAGTTGAGTAAAAGCTGAAGCTGTCGTGGATGGGCAATTGAAAAGTGATCCGTTCGATCTTTGATATTTCATAACTGATTCCCAGTTCTGTAACTTCCCCATCCCTTCTGCAACGTATGCTAAGTAAGCTTCCCTCTCTGCCGAGTGGCTTTGGTAGGATCTAAGAAGTGGGAAGGCCATGTCAAAAAAAAAAAAAAAAACAGATAATTCGAGTACATAAATTCAATTTTCAAGCACTACTGGATTGCTAAAACCATAACTAAAATGGATTTCCCATTCAGCAAAAGAAAATCAATAAATTGTACCTTTTAAGCTCCATATCTCTCTTATGAATCAAATCATTTAATGTTGTTGGGTCCAGACAAAGGTTTAAAGACAAGTCTCTGGCATATTCAAGCATGCCTGGAAATATGATATCATATCCAACGGGAGAGAGCTGACGATCATCAGTAGCTGAAGCAAAATGCAACTCGATAAAATGTACACCTGCAAAACAAGGAATGCTTATCAACCTGTTGAACTTCAATAAAGGTCAACTAGTATTTAGCTCCTGTTTGACTACCATTATTTTGAGAACATGTTGTTTTGAACAGTGATTTTTTTGGAAAATGTTTGGATTGATGTGCAAAATATTTTATTATGTAAACGTGTGGTTGAAAATGATTACAAGAATTAAAGAGTTTTGAAATAATGGTCGTCAAACAAGGGCTTAGTAAGCACAATTAACAATTACCCCTGCTAATTTGTTCGTCGCCAATGCCCCATCTTTTAAGAGCAAGAACACACGCCAATGTAGAAGAGATGATATCTTTTAGCAGTAAGGAATGATGGTGGGGAAGAGCCCATGAACCATCATGGAGCTGGTTTTCTAGCAACCAATTTACACATCCTGGGAAACAAGGTTCTTGTGAAGAATGTGGAGAAGGAACCATGGCAACCCATGCTGTGTCATACGACGAAATGCTAAGTTCAGCCTTATGAAACAGCTTTGTTATTCTTTCCTTGGCCACATCAAAGCACTGCTGAAGTTCTTGGCAATATCAATCGACCCATTCCTCATGAAATTAAAAATGGGGAAAATAAGGAAATCATTAAGTATTACCAATGAGGTAGGTTTAGCTGCTGCCACAACTTCAACTCCTGATTCCAACGAAGTTGTTTGAAATATTAAAAAGTAAAATTTAGTACTCATTTATCGACAATTCTATTACACAAAAACAAAAAAAAATCCACAATCAATCATCACTATTACATGCATTACACTGAAATGAAACACAGTACAATGACAAGCATGAATGATAAATTGTTTACATTTTAACGGTTACGGACAGAACTACTACAGAACCCATAAAATTGTCGCTACGATTGCAGCCAAATGTGGTAGAAACATCCACCAAATCACATTTGAATGTTTATATCAAAAGAAAAATGAAATCCCGAATTAGTAGTTCAGAAAGAAAAAACTTTAAGATAAAAGAAGGAACCTGAAACGGAGGGTATGGTGCGACAAGGCAGATATTTGCAGATGTGAAGAGACATGGTAGATTGCAGCAAAATATAATTAAATAAGTTGAATTAAGCACATATAAGTGGTGGGAGACTGGGAGGCTGCCGACAAAAGTTGGGAAAGGTGAAGCGTGGAGGAATCAAGAACACAAGATACGCTTTACTGAAGGCGGCCAAGTTACCAACTTTTCTTCTGTAAAATTACTGCTATTATACATGACTAGAGTCTTATATTGGGGGATAATTGCAGTGAAGGTCCTATTCATATTTGTGAAAACAGGTCTCTAAATGTTAATTTTAAATATTTTAGTATTTGACCTTTCAACTTTGTTGCAACTTAGTCTACATTGTTTTTTTTTTTTTTTTCCAGCTGAAAAACCCTTATTATTAAAAACAAAATGAAAATAACAAAAAGCGAGGCTAAGTTTGTGCTGGGGAATGAGAATTGGGGTGGGAGTGAGGGCAATGCAATTGCAAAGCGCGAAGTTGTGAGTTTGCAAATCGTTGAAGCTAAGAGCATTAAAAGGGACTGATCAAGGTTACCCAAACCTTTAAAATAGTGCTAGACACCAACCCTAGCACGTGGAGCCTCCTATAAGCAAACTTTAGCATTCATATGCTGATATGCAACCTGCAAAGAGCATGCTAAATTGCATTTTCAAATTTTAAAATCTTATCTAAAAAATATATAATTTCTACAATGAGCGTGCCGACAAACTGACCAAACTTAAAACGGCAAGGCAATGGCCATCATTTTCCAAAATGCGTCGACCCTAATATTGAAAGGACTGGATCGACCATTTTGATCACTTTTCATCAGTTTTGATATCAGACATCTGAAAGTCACTCGTCACTTTGACAATAACTTGCACAAATACACGTATTGAAGATCATGCAATAAATTTGAAAGGTTGAGAATGAAAATATCCTTAATTAAAGATTTAAGGGTTAACTCGCTCCATAAGCTGTAGGTTGAGGGCATCCATTGCAAATCTCTCTAAACTAATTTATAAATCAATTTAATTTACTTATAATTTATATGTAGGTAATAAATGAGCATTATGTACGGTAATAAAAACTTGAGGGATCTTCAAGCGATTGAAATTGAATATATTCTCTTAAGACTACTTAACAAAACATGTGGATTGGCGAATTCTAATGTTAAAAAACAACTAGGCAACAAAAGAATCATTCATTACTAAGGTCAACTCCAACTATTAGCATCAAATTAGTACAATTTCACACGAGATTGGTCAATTTTCAAATCATTTTATAAAATAAATAATCAAATTTTATTTAAATTAAAAATGATAAATATAAATAAAGTTGAATCCTTAAATAAGAATAAATAAAAAGGATATAATAGATATTAAAATTTGTTGTAGTATAAAATAAAGCAAAATAAGAGTTACGAAAAATACATACCAAATGAATAGCATTAGTGTATTACACCAAATTTGGTACGACAATTTTCAAAGAAAAATGCTATAAGGTGTACACACGTCTTTACACCTCTCTCACATGGAGAGGGGGCTCAAGAATATTTTATTGTGTGTGGGCCCCCCTCCATGTGAAGGGAGTGTAAAGCCGTGTGTACACCATTGTGTGCACGTAGCATCTCCCATTTTCAAATTGGTGTAAAGATTTAATGTATGGTTGAAGTAAATTTTTGCACTAAATCAATGTTTTTATACCAATTTGGTGTATGATTAAAGATGCCCTGAGATTACTTCTATATAGATGTAATTAAAATCTCATTAGTTTGAAAAATTTGAAGTCCCATTTTTTAAAACTCGTTTTTTCCAAATTCATTTTCAAGTTTCAACCACATATTTCATAGAGTTCATAACTTTTATCAATTCTTCGATCATACATTTCATTAAATTTAATAAAATAAAGCAAAATAAGAGTTATGAAAAACGAAATGAATAGCATTAGTGTATTACACCAAATTTGGTACGACAATTTTCAATGAAAAATGTTATGAGGTGTACACACGTCTTTACACCCCCTCTCACATGGAGAGGGGCCCAAGAATATTTTATTGTGTGTGGGCCCCCCTCCATGTGAAGGGAGTGTAAAGCCGTGTGTACACCATTGTGTGCACGTAGCATCTCCCATTTTCAAATTGGTGTAAAGATTTAATGTATTGTTGAAGTAAATTTTTGCACTAAATCAATGTTTTTATACCAATTTGGTGTATGATTGAAGATGCCCTGAGATTAATTCTATATAGATGTAATTAAAATCTCATTAGTTTGAAAATTTTGAAGTCCCATTTTTTAAAAATCGTTTTTTCCAAATTCATTTTCAAGTTTCAACCACATATTTCATAGAGTTCATAACTTTTATCAATTTTTCGATCATACATTTCATTAAATTTTATTAAAATCTATAAAACATCTGAATTTTAGCAAAATCAAACAAGGACTAACGACTCTCCTAAATTATGTTATATATGTCCCAACTCCTTACCCTAACAAATAAGTAAAGTTATTTTTTCTCATGTTTGCATTTCTTTTAAGAGTAATGCTATTCATTCTCACTGAGGTTACAAACACAGTTTATATTCACCTTTTTGTGTGTACATGAATTGTATTACCTCTTTTGTTTACTTCTAATGAGCCAAAACATGCTCTTAAAAAATAGTTCATGCAACCAATTGATAATTAAAAATTTACAACTGAATTTAAAACACAAGTAACATAGGTTTTTATGCATCCTTGAACAAGAAAAGGATACAAAATTCTTGTCTAAAACGTGTAAAACACTAGTAACAAAGGTTCATATATACATCTCTGAGAACGGCAATGAGAAGTAACCGAGCCACCTGAACAGTGTTCACGAGCAAGCTTGGTGAACTCCGGGATTCCTATTCCACGACAAATAAGATGGATCTCCCAGTTGCCTGAGACAGACAAATACATATATTTGTATATTCCCAATCAAAATAGCTTTAATCCTAGTCATTTTTTACTGCATTGGCAAAAAATTTATAGCAGGGTAAACACTGTTGGCAGAAAATCATACCTTGGTTTAACAAGATGAATAATTGTAAAAAGCAAGGCCAAAAAGAAGCACAAGCCACCCACAGTCAGATACGCGATCCCAAGGAAGTCATTCTTTCCTCCAAGCCAGCTGGTGGTAGAGAGAACAAGTTTTTTCTTGCCATTAAAGCTGTATGTATTATAATAGTTTTGTATTGTCACAGTAATGACATCGCCAGCCTGAAGATCCACTTCTATTTTACCGTACAGTTTTCTGAAAGTTGGAAGAGCTGCAGTTCTCATCCAAACAATAAGGTCTTCCTGCTCACTCAACTGTTACAAGAAACATATTCATAAGTGGACGAAAGAACAATTTTTTTCAGCATGTTGCTTCCACGTTTGTTGGTTCAGAGTTTAGTACCTCAGTTTAAACCAAATATTCTATGGTTTGGCTTTTTACTTTGGATCTTACACCATAAGAAACAGGTAATAGCAGAGATTAAAGAAGCTAGGGGTAGCCACAGAAACAGATTGTGTGCAATACCAATGCTGAGTAAATCGATACCAGAGGTCAAAAGTAATGAAATGGTCAAAGTAACAAATTAAACACAAATTTTAATTGTTTCTTCTTTTCATAAGACATAAGATCCCTGTAGTCCTGTACTACAATTGAAGAATCAAAGTTCACATTACTTCAACCTTACACAAGTAACATGAATACTAGACGCATATCCAAAGACAGATGTAGTCTGACCTAATATTTTGATCAACTCCATTTCTGACTCCAATGACATTTCACTAGTGACATATATTTGTTCAATATATGTTGAGGCTCAAACCAGAGATCTGTGATGTGCCCACAAAATTTGGCGAAATTCGCATTACTATTGGAACTTGTTTCTTGAGTTTGAACATTTCTTATAGGATGACGACACGTGTCCATATCTTGGCCATTAATTTTGGCATTAGTGATGGATATATATATAACGGTGACGTGGCAATCATCCACTTATTGATGTGTAAGTGTGAAAGTTGAATTAAAGGCAGGATCACATGCCACGTGTAATTATGTGAACCATTATGTGAATGGTTAGGTACATATAGCATTACCCATATATATATATACACACATACATGCACAGTATCATTTTTGTGGGTGGATTCATCTTCTGACTTCTGGGTTTTTTTGAGAGAGTTTCTTTCCTTTTCTTCTTACGTTAGGGTTTGATATGTGGCTTTTCATCTCTCTTGATAAACCAAATGAAACTGAGATTGGTGTATTTTAGCGTCTAAACTCTCTATATTTCTGAGTGATTACCGTAAGAATAAGAGATTTATTATATTCTTACAGTTGTAGTTTTCAGAAGGCGAGTTGAAGTTTCTTGAGTGATTCTTTGTAGATCTACAGTTATTATTGAAGAGAGAAGTATTTTGTACTTCTCTTTTGTGTTGGAAGAAATGATCTGCAACTTTTGTCGCCATTTTTGGGCTATATAGTGCATCCGAGCGAATATCCAATTTATTGGATGCTCATAGGGGGATGTAGGCGTTAGAAAAATAAATCTCTCGCGTTCAATTTTTTATTTTCTACAGTTTTACTTTCTAGTCGATTGTGTTTTTGGAATCTTGTTTTTAATATCGTGTTATCTGGGCATTTTCAATATAAAAACAAATTTATTATTATAAAAGTCTTAATATATTATGAGCAATAGCAAATAGTATGCACAGAAGTGATGATATTTAAGACTATCATCTTACTTTTAAGTACTGTGATCAAACATGGCTAGAGGCTTACTGGTTTTGATGAATTAAGTCGAGCACCACCTACAAGAGGATTATTCTGAAAGTTTTTGGGGTAGACATTTTTGCCAAACTTGTGATCTCTGTCACTCTTCCATGAGATACCTCTCTTGTTTATGGACAACTGACGGTTGTTGTGGCTGAAGTCATAAGTGTCATTGAAGAGACTCCATGCTATAAGACCACAAGGAACGATTGGCATCCCATTTGCAGTAGTATCTTCGGGCTTACAGGCACTTGTGTCATCCTCATTTCCTGGGTTTCTCAACTGCTGATCACTTCGGCTCTTCACATACCTAAAGGGCATAAATCCCACTTAAAAGAATTTTAAAATAAGAAATAAAGCACAATCAACTAATAGTATTTATCCTATAGCGAACACAAAAGATTTTAATTAGGAAAAAACTATGAAAGACATAATCAACCGAACTACAAGATATGCCGAATTTTTTTTAAAAACAAAAATTGCACATCCTTCTCTTTTGGTAAATATAGAATCATGGAGTGCCCAACATATCACCACTTCTTATCCATCTTCATTGGTAAGAAATTGTATAGCTTATTGCCATATCTCTATCCATAACCACTCATAGTTTTCTAAGCGAGAAGAGCCAGTAAAACATACTTCATTTTTTTGGAGAGTGGGGGAACGGGTTATATATTAGTACACAAGTCAATGGCTCCATCATAAGTACCTGCGATGATTCTGGTAAAAATTGTCAAGCTGATAATACACATAAATTGGCTGCTTCATATGTTTTGGAACCTGACATTGATTAATCCATTGGGGAAACCTCAATCAATAGATTTTCCTACAAAATAAGATGCAACACCATGAACAAAATTAGTAACCGATGACAGGGAACTCACTGTCAGTGTTCTATTACAGGTTTTATCTCGGGAGCTCTGTATAAACCCAACTTTGTCATTTCTAGAATCTGAAGGAATGCAATCAGTCTCATACTGATTAATAATTTCGACAACCTAATGAAAATAAAGATAATTTTCAGTCAGCAAAGGACTAAAAGGTGATAAAGGAAACAAGAAAAGGAGTCACAGTAGTTGAGTCCGAGCATACATTCTGAGAAGCAAAGAGGGAGACAAGTCCAATGGGAATAAAGACAAGACTGACAAGAAAGAACGTAAAAATCACCTGCACAGGAAAGAGTGCTTAGAGGGACTAATTACAGGTTAAGTAAATTTTCTAAATGTCGATGACTAATCAGTAAGGCAATAGAAGTATGAAAAAACTTGGAACATTTACCCATTTAGGTGTAAGAATAGGCTTGCAAGCCGGAAGTTCCTGTTGTGTAAACCTCGAATCTGAATAACGCATAAAATATCTTTCTTAGCACTTTCAGAATCACATTGATAAACTTCATATGAATTTTTGCTCTTAAAATACTGATGAATTGCCACCAATACAAAAAAAAATCGAAAAACCAACAGAAGGTGTTAAATTACCTATGCTGTGATTGGAAAACCGTCATATTTCATAATCAGAGGCGCTGCATCTTGACAAAGAGACTTAAATTCAAATTTATTTATTCTATTTCCAGAAACTTACAAAACCTTGGCTTTCCCTATTGAGGGAAAACAAATAGCATAACCCAGTAAACAATCCAATTATCATTCCAGTCAATTCATCTATACTCTTTATTTCTTTCTTATTCCTTTTTCTCTTTCTTGTGACATGAAATTGATTAAAGCTTTTTCCTTATTTCTAAAAATATTGTTTGTCATTGCCAATAACCAGTGGAATCAATTAACTCATTCATTGTATGACAAAAATGGTAAACATTCATACACTAAAAACCCAGACTTCAATTATAGACCTTCTAAAGAAAATCCATACTTACAGAACCATGTAAGTACATAATCAAAATAGTACCATTTGATTAGAGCTTCAAACAATTCTTCAGTTAAGTTCTTTTGCAAGGCACCGACAAAAAAATTGACACAACCATCAAAATGTTCAGCAGACAACTAAGAATTCAGTGTGGAACTTCACGCCAGTAGTTTCCAATTTAACAACAAAAACAAATAAAAACAATTTCAATACGTAATTAAAAAGTGTATTGGAAAGAAAAATTACATTTGGGTCGCTTGGAATTTCTTCTGGGAGCTGTTGAATCCGTCGATCCATTTCCTCTAGCACTTGATGACGGAGCATTCGAGTTCATAACTTCACTGGGTAAATAAATATTTTTCTTTCTTTCCCTTGTATTGCGGGAAAAAAAATTAGCGTCAGATACGAAATGGAAGATCAAGAATCAAGTAGCAAAGAATATTTTTACCAAACTTTAAATAAATTGATAATTGTTGAGGCCTGAGGGGGTGCGATCAAGATTCAGAATTCTTTGAACATCGACATAATAGATAGAGATAAAAATGACATTTACGAGGGTTTGATCTAAAACACAAAATTAAGAAAAAAAAAAAATCAAATATTTGATTTTTTAAACTTTCGGACTCCTAATTTTAATTAGAACATTAAAAATACTAAATTTATATTGGGAAAAATTCATTTTCCCTACTTTATCTTTACCCTATTTCAAAAATAACAAAACAACTTTTACATTTTACAAATCAGAAATTTTGACTTATACATACACATTTATATAAATATTTATTTATACATATAAATAA